GGAGACCGTCAACATCCTTCCTAGGAGACCGTCAACATCCTCCCCAGGAGACCATCAACATCCTCCCCAGGAGACCGTCAACATCCTCCCCAGGAGACCGTCAACATCCTCCCCAGGAGACCATCAACATCCTCCCCAGGAGACCATCACATCCTCCCCAGGAGACCATCAACATCCTCCCCAGGAGACCATCAACATCCTCCCCAGGAGACCATCAACATCCTCCCCAGGAGACCATCACATCCTCCCCCAGGAGACCATCAACATCCTCCCCAGGAGACCATCACATCCTCCCCCAGGAGACCGTCAACATCCTCCCTAGGAGACCATCAACATCCTCCCCAGGAGACCATCAACATCCTCCCCAGGAGACCATCAACATCCTCCCCAGGAGACCATCAACATCCTCCCCAGGAGACCATCAACATCCTCCCCAGGAGACCATCAACATCCTCCCCAGGAGACCATCAACATCCTCCCCAGGAGACCGTCAACATCCTTCCCAGGAGGCCGTCAACATCCTCCCCAGGAGGCCGTCAACATCCTCCCCAGGAGACCATCAACATCCTCCCCAGGAGACCATCAACATCCTCCCCAGGAGACCGTCAACATCCTCCCCAGGAGACCATCAACATCCTCCCCAGGAGACCATCAACATCCTCCCCAGGAGACCATCAACATCCTCCCCAGGAGACCATCAACATCCTCCCCAGGAGACCTTCAACATCCTCCCCAGGAGACCATCACATCCTCCCCCAGGAGACCATCAACATCCTCCCCAGGAGACCATCACATCCTCCCCCAGGAGACCGTCAACATCCTCCCAAGGAGACCATCAACATCCTCCCCAGGAGACCATCAACATCCTCCCCAGGAGACCATCAACATCCTCCCCAGGAGACCATCAACATCCTCCCCAGGAGACCATCAACATCCTCCCCAGGAGACCGTCAACATCCTCCCCAGGAGACCATCAACATCCTCCCCAGAAAACCATCAAAATCCTCCCCAGGAGACCATCAACATCCTCCCCAGGAGACCATTAACATCCTCCCCAGAAAACCATCAAAATCCTCCCCAGGAGACCATCAACATCCTCCCCAGGAGACCATTAACATCCTCCCCAGAAAACCATCAAAATCCTCCCCAGGAGACCATCAAAATCCTCCCCAGGAGACCATCAAAATCCTCCCCAGGAGACCGTCAACATCCTCCCTAGGAGACCGTCAACATCCTCCCCAGGAGACCATCAACATCCTCCCTAGGAGACCGTCAACATCCTCCCTAGGAGACCATCAAAATCCTCCCCAAGAGACCGTCAACATCCTCCCCAGGAGACCATCAAAATCCTCCCCAGGAGACCGTCAACATCCTCCCTAGGAGACCGTCAACATCCTCCCCAGGAGACCGTCAACATCCTCCCTAGGAGACCGTCAACATCCTCCCCAGGAGACCATCAAAATCCTCCCCAGGAGACCGTCAACATCCTCCCTAGGAGACCGTCAACATCCTCCCTAGGAGACCGTCAACATCCTCCCCATGCTCCCCCACTTTCTCCCTAGAAGACTATCAACATCCCCCCCCCCCCTCACTACCTCCCCAGGAGACCATCAACTTCCTCCCCAGGAGACCATCAACATCCCCCCCCCCACCCCTCCGTACTCTCCATACAATAGCTCTGTGATGGTTTTCCATTGATATCAAGGGGGATCATAAGCTTCGGCGCTGGAATTCCTGATCAGGTGTAGTGTGAGCGGGGCGTCCGTGGGAAAAGATTGGTCCATATTGTTGTGTAGGGGGAGTGTCGGGGTTTATGGTATTGCCAGGACAACACGCCGCGACAAGGGGGCTGCCTTTCGGGGGGGCTGGGTCTCTGGGGCACATTGGCGGGGCGGTCCCCAGAAGGGGGCATGCAAGGGGGGGGGGGTCTGGTCCCTAGGGCATATTGGAGGGGAGTGCCTTTGGGGAATTGGTTTCTCTGGCATACGGGAGGGGTTGGGGGAGGGGGTTCTGGTCTCTTTGGGCACACTGAAGGGGGCGTGGTATATCACCTGGGGATATACTATATCACCTTGGGGAGGACTTTCCTGCTCATGAGTAATGCACTGAATGCTCTTCCATGGATGATGTACTTAGCGCTCCCCATGGATGATGTACTGAGCGCTCCCCATGGATGATGTACTGGGTGCTAGCCATGCAGCCCAACCTTCAAATAGACAGTACGGTTTAATACTAAATGTAATAAGTACAATCCTGACTATCGGCATAGTACATAAATACACTTAATCGTCAACGTCGCACCAAAATATTGTGAATATTAGAGTTTACCTGAAAAGCTGTATAGGAAACCACGACCTAACCTAACCTAACCTAACCTAACCTAACCTAACCTAACCTTGGGAGTGTAGGAGGACAAGCATGTAAGTAGCATTTATTGTTTCTTAATTACAGTTAGCACTTAACCTATAGCTATATTGATATTACAATTTTATAAATCAAATAAAACAAAACTAAAGTCTTTAAATAAATTATAAAGTAACAGGATATTTTCAAATTTTGTGTAAAATCTCTATTGTTTAATAAAACTGAAAAAAACATTCTTTTCATTTAAAACTTGTGTATATAGAATTGAACACGAAAACTTCAACCTAAAAAATTTGAGTGTATTAACACAAAATTAGGAGAATATATGGGGGGGGGGGGGTAAATGTAACAGCACAATGAAGTGTATTTATGTACTATGCAGACAGTCAGGAATGTACTTATTACATTTAGTATTAAAACGTAGAGTCTATTCGGAGGAAGGGTTGCCCCAGGGGTGATGTATGGTGTCCTGCCCATGAATACACGGTATCAAAGCTCTCTTTAAGTACCGGGCCCATCTATGGAGCAGTATTATCCCATCTCTAAAAGCGTGGTATCGAGACATTGGTCTTTATCTGTGGCGGCGTGGTATCGATCCTGGCGAGGGTGTGGTATTGGGTGCCCCCACACGTCCCAAGTGGCACCCCTACCAGCCTCTCAGATCACACTTGGTACATGGATTCAACTTTAACTCCGGGTCGTAAAAAATGTGTTGTTGATAAACACAGTCTGAGCTCATGCCCCTGATCAGGCATTACATTCCCCTCCCCCCCTCCCCTCTCCCCTCTCCCCTCTCCCCCTCCCCTCTCCCCCACACACATAACCGCTTCTCCACGTAGATTTTTTAATACCTAGATGGTCACAATTATTTTTTTTTTTTTTTTGCTTTTGGTCGCCAGGTTGATTATCCAAATGGATGTACATAATGAGAGTAACTGGATTATACTGCGTGGAATTGTTGCCGTCCGTCTGGCGCGGTCTGGCAACTCCAAGCTGATGTCACGGCAGAAAATTAATCGCCAGGAATTGTGTTTGACGACTATGGGAGTTTTCTCTCCCATGGTCGTCGCTGGTGATGAGGGTGGGAGTGACGACACGGCCCCACACCTCCCCCACACTTGTCACTTGTCTTCAATACCTTCACGGGATTATAATCGATTAATATAACCGGTGGTAGTGGGGGTGGTGTGTGGTGGGAGGGGGGGGGGCGGTGAGAAGATGCCAAGGAAAGCCGAGGTGGTGTTGGGTTGGTTGGACGGTCGTGTGGTTGTCTTGTTGATGTTTATGGCCGTAAACTGGCTTCCTTCTTGATAACATGTTTACTGGAGCCGTGTGCTCCACTCCATCACCTGTTACCACGGTATCAAGACTGGTCATAATTGATTACGTGCACGGGGGAAAACATTCATTAGGAATTCCAATTACACTGCTTCAAAACACCTCGCTATAAATTCCTCCGCCGTCAACACTCTCCCCCGCCAGTGTTTGAAGTGGATACCCGATCACGCGTGAGAAAAACACGGAACTGACGGCTCTAAGGCCTGACAAGTGTTGTAAGTCATTATTAAGATTAAGTTACAGAGCCAGCAGTCAGGCTTGCTTCTTAACTAGTATGGAGTGGAGGGGCAACCCCCCCCCCGGCTCCTACCACCCCCCCCCCACCTCGTAACTAGCGAAGGGTAACTGGGAGGGAGGCCGGGTCCTCCTCCCACTCCGCCTCCCAACACACGCTACTTGAGCTCTTAAGTGGTAGACAACCTCCACAACGTGACTTATCCCGTCTAAGTTATGTCGTTACGTTCTTAAAGTTGTGGAGGGCTTGTGTCGTAATTACAGGTCTCTTTCTTTACATGTCACTCTAATAGATACATATTAAAGTGACATGTAAAAGGACCTTTTTTTCGAATGCTTTCCTTGTCAGTCCATTATATATATATATATATATATAATATATTATAATATTATATATAATATATATATATTATAATATATAATATATATATATATAATATATATATATATATATATATATATATATATATATATATATATATATATATATATATATATATATATATATATATATATATATATTTTTTTTTTATTAGTATATTTTGGTAGCAGTCTTTCCTGTAGACATATATTATTAAATATGACCGAAAAAGTAAGATTAATAATTCTAACACGAATTTTCTCAATCTTTCGTACATTTCTTTTCACTGTTGGTGGTAATTCAAAAATCAATTCTCCAAAATTCATTTTTATTTCTAGTCTACAAATAAAAATATTAAATAAAATAGTCTACAAAAATAAAAATGAATTTTGGAGAATTGATTTTTGAATTACCACCAACAGTGAAAAGAAATGTACGAAAGATTGAGAAAATTCGTGTTAGAATTATTAATCTAACTAATTATTAATCTAATTAATTATTAATTAATATATCTCTCTCTCTCTCTCTCTCTCTCTCTCTCTCTCTCTCTCTCTCTCTCTCTCTCTCTCTCTCTCTCTCTCTCTCTCTCTATATATATATATATATATATATATATATATATATATATATATAATGTTTTTTATATTGTAAAGATGCAGAATTTTCAGCCAAAGGACATTTAAATACTTAAAGAGTCTTCGGGATGATTAATATTTGGGATGATGAACGGCGCTTACGCAGGGTGCACGCCACGCCCCTAACAAGCCGTCGGGAACAGCAACTCTGGGGAAACAAAAAGCAAGTGAGAGTCGCCCGTGTCACTACTAGTTCAACACCCCATTTAGGATGTCTTGGGGCGTGGGTTAGACTCGCCAGCAGCGTCTGGTGGTCGTCCTTAGAACACTAGGAGGAGACATGCCCGGGTGGGCATGTACATAAAGTACATCAAATTCATAAAAGTACATAAAGTACATAAAATCAACCAGGTCGGGGCGGGGCATCTCTCCTCTCTGAAGCACCCCGAAGAGAACATAACTTTTGTTATGTTCAAACTGGCCTTGACTTTTGGGGTCCAGCTAGTAAATACAACATGCTGTATGGAAACATAAATACAAACATATACATACATAATACATACATACGCGAACAAGCCTGAATGGTCCGCAGGCATATATGCAACTGAAAACTGATACATACATACATGTGTGGCGTGGGAAGGTGGTGGACATGTGTGTGGTGGTTAAGGGCCAGGCACGAGGTGGGAGGTTAGTGTGGTGGTGATTAGCGGACGGAGAGGCATAATGAGATCGTAATTGCGTTGTGCTGGTGAGAAACAAATGTGTGGAGAGCGAGAGAGAGAGCGGGATTAGAGAAGCTTAGGAGTGAATGAGGCTGTCACAAGGAGAACGAGTGAGATAAACAGCAGGTGAGGAGAGAAGAATGGGGGGTTAATGAGGGGGAGTAGGGGGGGGGGGGGCGAGGGAGTAGGAGGACACACTTTCAACGTCCAAAACGTCATCAGAGAGAACAAATGAGGATTGAGTGTAATGACCTCGGCCTTTGGACCACTTGGACCATCGGAGATCGAACGCCGACCCTGCAAGGAGCGATGACGTTACCGTAGCGACTAGCCCAAATAAGAGTACCACATAGCACGTTGCACCATCGGAGATCGAACGCCGACCCTGCAAGGAGCGATGACGTTACTGTAGCGACCAGTCCAAACAAGAGTACCACATAGCGCGCCATTACCTCTCCCGGCAGGAATAAATGGTATTCGCCAACGTCAAATGTCTCTGCAACGGGCTCCTCGCGCCAGCCAGAGATACTCTTGTTGTGTGCATAATTAATCACCCAGCCCATCATTCTCATCTTTCCACACACAGCAACACAATTAACCTCGACTCCTCGTCGTCTGAGCCAACGACCCCCCCCCCCCCCCCCCGACGAAAACAAGACTTCAGAAGCCATTGACGAGGCTGACAAAATACTGGCTGGCGTCAGCAGGTGGCTCATAGCCGTGTCAGCCTGGGGACTCGCCATGTAATTATCAGGGGGGGAGGGTGGGTGGCTCCTGCTGCTGCTGCTGCTGCTGTGTTTACCTGCTCTTGCAGTGCTGATGATGCTTGCAGTCTGGGCTGCCTTTGCCACACCTGCTGCTGTGTGTGTTACTGCTGCTGCTGCTGCTGCTGCTGTGTGTGTTACTGCTGTTACTGCTGCTGCTGCTGCTGTGTGTGTTACTGCTGTTACTGCTGCTGCTGTGTGTGTTACTGCTGCTGCTGCTGCTGCTGCTGCTGCTGCTGTTGTTACTGCTGCTGCTGTTACTGCTGCTGCTGCTGCTGTTACTGCTGCTGCTGTGTGTGTTACTGCTGTTACTGCTGCTGCTGTGTGTGTTACTGCTGTTACTGCTGCTGCTGCTGCTGCTGTGTGTGTTACTGCTGCTGCTGTGTGTGTTACTGCTGCTGCTGCTGTGTGTTACTGCTGCTGCTGTGTGTTACTGCTGCTGCTGTGTGTTACTGCTGCTGCTGCTGCTGCTGCTGCTGCTGCTGTGTGTTACTGCTGCTGCTGCTGTGTGTTACTGCTGCTGCTGCTGCTGTGTGTTACTGCTGCTGCTGCTGTGTGTTACTGCTGCTGCTGCTGTGTGTTACTGCTGCTGCTGTGTGTTACTGCTGCTGCTGCTGCTGTGTGTTACTGCTGCTGCTGCTGCTGTGTGTTACTGCTGCTGCTGCTGCTGCTGCTGTGTGTTACTGCTGCTGGTGTTGTCATGCTGCCTCTGCTGCTCTCTCATGCTTTTGTTGTTTGTTTCTCGGTCGTTGGCCTCTTGTTTCTCACACCTGTTATTGTTCACTATCTTTCGTTGCCTGCGTCCTCTCTAGTGTTAACGTTGCCTGCGTCCTCTCTAGTGTTAACGTTGCCTGCGTCCTCTCTAGTGTTAACGTTGCCTGCGTCCTCTCTAGTGTTAACGTTGCCTGCGTCCTCTCTAGTGTTAACGTTGCCTGCGTCCTCCCTAGTGTTAACGTTGCCTGCGTCCTCTCTAGTGTTAACGTTGCCTGCGTCCTCTCTAGTGTTAACGCTGCCTGCGTCCTCTCTAGTGTTAACGCTGCCTGCGTCCTCTCTAGTGTTAACGTTGCCTGCGTCCTCTCTAGTGTTAACGTTGCCTGCGTCCTCCCTAGTGTTAACGTTGCCTGCGTCCTCTCTAGTGTTAACGTTGCCTGCCTCCTCTCTAGTGTTAACGCTGCCTGCGTCCTCTCTAGTGTTAACGCTGCCTGCGTCCTCTCTAGTGTTATCTTGAGGTTATCTTGAGATGATTTCGGGGCTTTTTTTTTAGTGTCCCCGCGGCCCGGTCCTCGACCAGGCCTCCACCCCCAGGAAGCAGCCCGTGACAGCTGACTAACATCCAGGTACCTATTTTACTGCTAGGTAACAGGGGCATAGGGTGAAAGAAACTCTGCCCATTGTTTCTCGCCGGCGCCTGGGATCGAACCCAGGACCACAGGATCACAAGTCCAGCGTGCTGTCCGCTCGGCCGACCGGCTCCCTACCGGTCCCTACCGGCTCCCTACCGGTCCTCCCTAGTGTTAACGTTGCCTGCGTCCTCTCTAGTGTTAACGTTGCTTGCGTCCTCTCTAGTGTTAACGTTGCCTGCGTCCTCTCTAGTGTTAACGCTGCCTGCGTCCTCTCTAGTGTTAACGTTGCCTGCGTCCCCTCCAGTGTAAACGTTGCCTGCGTCCTCTCCAGTGTAAACGTTGCCTGCAACCCCTCCAAACTAAACGTTTCCTCCGACCCCCCCTCGAAGTAAACGTTTTCTTTGCCCACCCAGAGTAAACGTTTTATCTGGCCCCCCCAAGGTAAACAAACGTTTCTCCAACCACTTCAAAGACAGCGTTTTTTCTCCGTCTCTCCCCTTCCCCCAGATAAGAATCTCTCCGACCCCCCTGGTAAACGTTTACACTCACTCCCGAGAGATAAACGTTTCCTCCGACCGCCCCTGTAACGTCAACGTTTTCTCTCTAATATGACGTCGTAAGCGTCCCCAGCTCTCATCGGTTACGGTAGTTTGGTTTTAAGGGCGTGGGTCAGCCGGAGTGGGCGTGCGTCAGCCGGAGTGGGCGTGCGTCAGCCGGAGTGGGCGTGCGTCAGCCGGAGTGGGCGTGCGTCACCCGGAGAGGGCGTGGGTCAGCCGGAGTGGGCGTGGGTCAGCCGGAGAGGGCGTGGGTCAGCCGGAGTGGGCGTGCGTCAGCCGGAGTGGGCGTGCGTCAGCCGGAGTGGGCGTGCGTCACCCGGAGAGGGCGTGGGTCAGCCGGAGAGGGCGTGGGTCAGCCGGAGTGGGCGTGGGTCAGCCGGAGTGGGCGTGCGTCAGCCGGAGTGGGCGTGCGTCAGCCGGAGTGGGCGTGGGTCAGCCGGAGTGGGCGTGGGTCAGCCGGAGAGGGCGTGGGTCAGCCGGAGTGGGCGTGGGTCAGCCGGAGAGGGCGTGCGTCAGCCGGAGTGGGCGAGCGTCAGCCGGAGAGGGCGTGGGTCAGCCGGAGTGGGCGTGGGTCAGCCGGAGTGGGCGTGGGTCAGCCGGAGAGGGCGTGCGTCAGCCGGAGAGGGCGTGGGTCAGCCGGAGAGGGCGTGGGTCAGCCGGAGTGGGCGTGCGTCACCCGGAGAGGGCGTGGGTCAGCCGGAGAGGGCGTGCGTCAGCCGGAGAGGGCGTGGGTCAGCCGGAGTGGGCGTGCGTCAGCCGGAGAGGGCGTGGGTCAGCCGGAGAGGGCGTGGGTCAGCCGGAGTGGGCGTGCGTCACCCGGAGAGGGCGTGGGTCAGCCGGAGAGGGCGTGGGTCAGCCGAAGAGGGCGTGGGTCACCCGGAGAGGGCGTGGATCAGCCGGAGTGGGCGTGCGTCACCCGGAGAGGGCGTGGGTCAGCCGGAGAGGGCGTGGGTCAGCCGGAGAGGGCGTGGGTCAGCCGGAGAGGGCGGGGGTCAGCCGGAGAGGGCGTGGGTCAGCCGGAGAGGGCGTGCGTCAGCCGGAGAGGGCGTGGGTCAGCCGGAGTGGGCGTGCGTCAGCCGGAGTGGGCGTGCGTCACCCGGAGAGGGCGTGGGTCAGCCGGAGAGGGCGTGGGTCAGCCGGAGAGGGCGTGGGTCAGCCGGAGAGGGCGTGGGTCAGCCGGAGTGGGCGTGCGTCAGCCGGAGAGGGCGTGCGTCAGCCGGAGAGGGCGTGCGTCAGCCGGAGTGGGCGTGCGTCAGCCGGAGTGGGCGTGGGTCAGCCGGAGAGGGCGTGGGTCAGCCGGAGAGGGCGTGGGTCAGCCGGAGAGGGCGTGCGTCAGCCGGAGTGGGCGTGCGTCACCCGGAGAGGGCGTGCGTCAGCCGGAGTGGGCGTGCGTCAGCCGGAGAGGGCGTGGGTCAGCAGGAGTGGGCGTGCGTCAGCCGGAGAGGGCGTGGGTCAGCAGGAGTGGGCGTGCGTCACCCGGAGAGGGCGTGGGTCAGCAGGAGTGGGCGTGCGTCAGCCGGAGAGGGCGTGGGTCAGCCGGAGTGGGCGTGCGTCAGCCGGAGAGGGCGTGGGTCAGCAGGAGTCGGCGTGGGTCCGCAGCAGTGGGCGTGGGTTAGCAAGACAGGGTCTGTTAGCGGAAGGGCGAGGGGTCGGTAGAAGGGCGTGGGGTCAGCAGTGGGGCGTGGGGTCAGCAGTGGGGGCGTGGGGTCAGCAGTGGGGCGTGAGGTCGGCAGTGGGGCGTGGGGTCGGCAGTGGGGCGTGGGGTCGGCAGTGGGGCGTGGGGTCGGCAGTGTTGCGTGGGGTCGGCAGTGGGGCGTGGGGTCAGCAGTGGGGCTAGGCAGGTCAGAAGGTTCCCGTCACCGCCCAGCTCAGCACTATCACCCTTCTCACTAATGCCCACCGATTGAAGTGGTAATTGCTTTCTTGTGTGGCTTCTGCGGCTGCTGCTGTTGCTCCTGAGGCTGCTGCTTCTGTGTGTTGCTGCTGTTGCTGCTGCTGTGTCTTGCTGTTGCTGCTGCTGTGTCTTGCTGTTGCTCCTGAGGCTGCTGCTGCTGCGTGTGCGTTTCTTCTGCTACATGTGCCCATGTTTATACTTGTTGCTTGTGTTTTGCTCGTACTTGTACTCTCTGCTTCTCCACGCTCTGCAGGGATACCTGAAGCCTTTTCTAGTCTGCTGTCTGCTGCACACGAGGGTGTGAATGTGTGTGTGTGTGTGTGTGTGTGTGTGTGTGCTCACCTATTTGTACTCACCTATTTGTGCTTGCGGGGGATGAGCTTTGGCTCTTTGGTCCCGCCTCTCAACCGTCAATCAACTGTTGTACAGATTCCTGAGCCTACTGGGCTCTTATCATATTTACACTTGAAACTGTGTATGGAGTCAGCCTCCACCACATCACTTCCTGTGCGCGGCAGTGTGTGCGCGTGCGTATGTACGTATCTTGGAGTGTTCCTCACATTCACTAGCCCCCCCCCCTTCACACCCCCTCCCCCCTGCTGTGAAATTGATAGCCTTTAGTGTTTATGATAAAAAAATGCTTCTTGCCGTGGCGTTCATTGGTGGGGGTTGACCTGCGCCCTACCTGCAGGTAGAACAGTCAATATTGATCACAGGGACTCGTCCCGATCCTTGGCGGAGTCCTTCGCTCTCCCCCCGCGCCTTCTTGGAGGAAGCTGCACGTAACACGACTCCTTCAGCGTCGAAGTTGCTGAGTGACTGGGGGAGATTTTTTGTGCATTCTTGTCTATGACTACAAGATGACAAGAGTTGGGGGTCAGTGTCACTGGAGGAGGGTGCCAGGCACCGGTGGGGTGGAAGGCACGGTAGGTGAGGGGGCGGGTGGCAGGCACTGAGAGGGAGGGGTGGTGGGGTTGGGTGGCGGGGGGTGGCAGGCACTGTGAGGGAGGGGTGGTGGGGTTAGGGGGGTCGGCGTTGTCCGGTGTTGCTATAGCGACTCGACCACAGCTACGCTGTCCTCCACGCCGTCAATATACTGGAGGAGGAGGTAGTGGTGGAGTGGTGGTGGTGGTGGTGGTAGGGAGGGAGGGAGGGCCAAGGGTGTTGTGGTGGTAGTGGAGTGGTGGTGCTGTGGTGGTGCTCACCTAACAGTGACTGCGGGAGAATTGAGCTCTAGCTCTTTATGCCCCGCCTACAAGTCGCTTTGTTTCTGATGCCTCGGCGAGGCTTACTGACGGTGTACCCAATTAACAGTTATGATGGATGTGGTTTTCACAACTTCCTCTTTTTCAGTACACTACACTTGGTGACCCGTCTTGCTTTCAATTTAAAAAAGGCTGTCCTTGTCCACCTTGCGTAGTTCCCCTCGGGATCTTGTATGCTGTGATCATATCTCGCTTTGTTTCTTTTCCTTCCAAGGGTTGTGAGATTTGGTGCCCTTAAGCAGTCTTCGTAGCTGAGTGGTGGTGGAGTGAGTGGTAGGGGTTTGGTTGTGGTGGGGGATTAGTTGTGGTAGGGGTTTGGTTGTGATAGGGTTTGGTTGTGGCAGGGGTTTATTGTGGTGGGGAATTGGTTGTGGTGGGGAATTGGTTGTGGCAGGGGTTTGGTTGTGGCTGGGGTTTAAGGTTGTGATAGGGGCTGATTGTGGCAGGGGGTTTGGTTGTGATGGGGGTTGGTTGCGATAAAGGTTTGGTTGTGGTGCAGGGTGGTTGTATTAGAGAGTTCGTTGTAGTAGGAGTTTGTGGTGTTGTGGTGGTGGTGGTGGGGGGGGGGGGGAGGACCCAGGAGGGTGTAGAGGGGTGAAAGGGGGGGGGGTAGGTAGTGATGAAGGAGGGTGTAGTGATGACCAGTAGAGGTTAGGGTGGAGGAGGTGGTAATAGTTGTGGATCATGTAGTTTGAGAGAGTAGTGGTTGTGGTAGTTGTAAAGGAGATCTACAGAGGTGGTGATGCTGGTTGTAGCAATATCAGTTGTAGCAGCAATAACAGTTGTAACAAGAGTTTAATTCGTACGTTTTTATCTTACCTTACGCGCACGAAGCTGCTTGTTCACCCAGACTGTGATTCCAATGTCAGAATTCGATCAGCAACGTCCAGCGGTGCAGCCAGGAGGCCTGGCCAGAGACCGAGCCGCAGGTACATTGATTCCCGTAAACACCTCAAGTTAACCGGGATCAAAGAGCCGAAACTCAACCCCCCGCAACCACAATTAGGAGAGTACTCAATCCGCTAAAACTTAATATTGCAGTGGATTTATTTCCACTAAAGCATTTAGATATGTACGCATTGAGTGTGCACTTTGAGTGTGAGGTTGAGGGAGAAAGGGGAAACGGGAATAATAATGGTGATGGTGTGAGGGGAAAGTGGAAGAGATTTTAATTGTGATGGTGATGGGGGGTGCTTAAGAGAAGAGGAGAGAGTGGTGATGATTGCAGTGGAGGAGACAGAGGTTGGGGGAGCAGTGGTGGGGATGGTTGTGGTGATAGCGGAGACGGAATAGAAGAAAATGGGAGAGAGAGAGAGAGAGAGAGAGAGAGAGAGAGAGAGAGAGAGAGAGAGAGAGAGAGAGAGAGAGAGAGAGAGAGAGAGAGAGAGAGAGAGAGAGAGCAAACAAGCAAGCAAGCAAGCAAGCAATAGCCAGAGGGAAGGAGGAAGGTAAGAACCGCTTCTGAGATTGGCCAGAAAATACAGAGGAACAAGACAAAGTTTTCTCTTTACGGTCTTGAGTTTGATGGGGGAGGAGGTGAAGGAAGGAAGGGAGGGGGGGGGGGGTTGGGGAGGGGAAAGGAAAGGGAGGGTGGTTGAGGAGGAGGGGAAGGAAGAGAATGGAAGGGGGTTGGGAAAGGTTATTCCAGTCCCGAATGTTTCAAAATCTTCTTTTCAGTTCTTTTTTTTCACCCTGGGCAAGTTTTGCAATTAGTGCCTTAGGCTTGGAGCTGAAGGTTATGGCGGAGAGCTGCAGATGGAAATATAAAGTGTGGGTCTTGAGGCAGGTTTCCAGCTTGAGCTGATCCCCAAGACAATTGGAGACGCCTCGCCTCCCGGATGCTCTGGAACACACAACGCTCTCGGATTGGTCCGTCCTCAGCCCTGGAATTTTGCCTGGAATATACACACATTGGGGTTATTTTTCTCCTCGAGTGGCCTCCTCCATGTAAATAGAAGCCAAAAACCGAGAGGAAATGTTAAACATCAAATGTTCATTGCAACATCCCCTCATCCGGGTCACTGTAGAGGGGAAATGAACAAACAGCGTTCTCAGAAATTCCCGGACCTCCGTGTGGCAAAAGCAACTTCCAGTCCGGGATCTCCTCACGTGATTGGTCGCCGGCTGGAAATCCTGGGAGATAAGATGGAACCCGACATGGATCCTTGTCACCAGCATCCAGACCCGAGATATGTAACAATCCTGGCCGGGCCCAAGGCGACGCCAGCCTGTCTGTCATACTTGAAGGGGCAGGTCTAGGAGGGCTGGAAGCACTCTACGAAGAAGGCCGCTCCTGCTACATCATTTTATTTGTCGAGCGCTGGTCACCCCACTTCCCCCTTACTCTGGCTCGCTTTTTCCAGTCGTGGGTCTGGACTGTTGTCTAGCGAGTCGTGGGGCTGGACTGTTGTCTAGCGAGTCGTGGGTCTGGACTGTTGTCTAGCGAGTCGTGGGTCTGGACTGTTGTCTAGCGAGTCGTGGGGCTGGACTGTTGTCTAGCGAGTCGTGGGTCTGGACTGTTGTCTAGCGAGTCGTGGGTCTGGACTGTTGTCTAGCGAGTCGTGGGTCTGGACTGTTGTCTAGCGAGTCGTGGGTCTGGACTGTTGTCTAGCGAGTCGTGGGTCTGGACTGTTGTCTAGCGAGTCGTGGGGCTGGACTGTTGTCTAGCGAGTCGTGGGGCTGGACTTTCTCTTATGCGATTGATACATGTGTACCTGTGACGTATTAAAAATGTATCTTACGTGTGTGTGTGTATCACAATACACATATGTGTATCATCTCAAGATCAGTCTTCTGATGTGTGTTACCTCACTATGACGTCACATTCATACTTCCCTCCCCGACCCCTTTACCCCGGTTTCCTGGACTTCCCAAAATAGTAATTAACACCTGAGCATGAAAATTGGACGTGATAGGAACATAAATAGCTTTCCAAGGGGGTGAAAACAAGCAATAAAGAGCCCGCATATGGCGTAAAACACAGCCTACTCTGGCTGTGAGTGAGCTGTTGAGCAATACCTTGTGGATAAGCTGGAGAGCACACGGCCCCCCTTAAGAAATGTGGTATATGGTCGTCTGCGGCACCCGGCCGACCACCTTGAGACAAGGACTATTGTCACGTGGTGGCCAAGTTTCCGCATAATGATAATTAAGCTAATTGCTCTTATCTTAATCACTGTAATCGTCTCCAATTGAATTATTTATATTATCCGTTAATTACGGGGGGTCATCAGCGCATAATGAACAGGCTGGGTAAAGCGAGCTTGCTTCTTGGAGCAGTTGAGAGGGCGCTGCTCGACCACTGATGAGGTGCTTGATAACGATGGCTGTGGGATCGAAACCATGAATGACTTTATAATGTTTTCCATTTGTTGGCTTTATGTTGTGTGACGCTGGAGGCGAGAACACGTGGGGATCCTCGCCCCCCGCCCCCCCCACACCTCTAAACTACCACTAC